CAATCCTAGCTCGAGACTCGGAAAACTCACATTTGCCCAAATGTCATCTGCATCCTGGATTTGAGTCGGTTCAGTAGCCACACTCTGTAACTTCATATTGTTTTTAAAATGTGCTATAAGACAGTTTTTTTTTGGAGAACAGTGTGTATCCATCCTACTTTCATTACAGCCTCAAATTTATCGCGAGTTGGTAGCGTTTGCGCCTGTGTTAGGGGACATGGGTAAGCGCTTCGCCGTTGGACTAATGACTTAATGCGCCCAAGCTCAGGCTAACAGATATTGAAATCTACCTACGTAAGGCACTGTGCCTTCCTTCTAGTCAAATATTTGCCAGATCAAAAAATCCTCCGAACTTTGTTCTTAATCCATGACGCTCTTCGCTCACACCCTCTTCCCTGTGACGACGCATTCGCATGTCGCCTACCGCATTGGTAGAAGTCTGGGATTGTCTTAAAAGATAATAATTATGCCTTCACCTGAATTTCAAAACAATTTAATGGAAGCCAGCAGGAGTTCAACCGAAAAGTAGTAACCAACTGCCTTGCGCCAATTCAAAGATCTGTAGTCGACGTTCACCATTAGCTCATCAGTGTTTTGTTAAACCTCGACTACGAACGAAAGCATAAAACATAAAACATAATTTCACATGTCGGATGTTGACGTAAGCACATCGTTCGCTGCTTCCAATCACTATATGCTAAATGAACATCCTGTATGAAAATTGAAATAATAGGAGGACATCCTTTAATTTGGTCCATCTTCTTTCTTCTTTTGGCTTATATAAGAGAGGAAACTGTTCCAAAACAATGAAACAAAGTTGACAACAAAAAGCCTAGAGCGTTGATGTTAGTAGTAAGTGATGATTACCTGAAGTGAACTGGAACGAATGTAAAGTTAATGAACTGCGTTGGAGGCCAGACCTGGATGAGAATAAAAGATGGAAAGTGAGAATCGCATAGTATTTTTGTTTAAGCACATTTACGGCTTCCGAAACCAGAATGATAGCGACTAAACCGTCATCGCCAATGCCTATCAGTGCGACTGCATCGGAAACCCGAATGAAAATGGTGTAAACAATTTTACTTGTACTTTAAGCCAAGTACCTAACTAATTTTATGGAAGCAGCAAACAAAAAAACATCTTTCTCGTGATTAATCAAGATAGCAAAACAGTTCTAAGGAGATATGGAATCCAACTTAAAGAAATAATATTAATTGTTCAAATTTGCTATGAATGAAATAAAGTAACCGCGCCCACACCACACCATACATTAGAGCGAGAATTGTATCAAAAATACCCACAGATCTTACAGTTGGCCCTATTGTTAATGCATTTTATCAAGTAGTAAAAAGTTGACCAACCATGTAGTTCTTTTTCAAAGCAGAGCAAAACGATGTAGATAGCTTTTGTTTGGCCTCCTCAACTGACCAATTTCTAGTAAAAGCGGCCAATCCGATGATGGAACTACAAAGAATGGGAGCCATCACAATCTAGGATACAGTGAATTAAGGAAGTCGACTCAAGCTAACCTGGTCTGTCGCTACCATTTTCACAGTACGCACAACAGATTGTCCTTTATAAATTCTATCCAGGAAGGCATACCAAAAGTTAAGCAGCGGACCCTAGAGGTAAAAAGTGTGATAAACACATGGCACTTACTATGGTAAATAGCCCGATCGCACCAAATTTGATGGTGCGGGAAGGTTCCCATTTACGCTTTTCAACAAGCTTCTGGGCAATAATATCGCCACTTCCCATAATTATGGCTACAAATAGGATCAATACAAGTGTTTTACCTGTAGAAATGGCCTGCGTCCTTACGGGATACTTAACCAATAGATTGGAATAACCGTGGTACAACTTCACAAGACTCGACATTCTCGATACTCTGCAAAATTACAAAATAAATGTTGATAAAATCAAAGATGAGAGAGTGCGAGTAAAACTCTTTAGAAATGTTCAGCTGTCAGCTGATATGACTGCAGCCGCCCAGAAAAGTTAGCTTATAACCCTCAGGCAATGACTTTGAGCTCATGGTTCTGTCAGGGATAGGCGGGTAGAGGCAACTCACACGCCTGCAGATGGCAGATTCACTAGCGTTCACCAAGTGAAAACAATGAAAATGAAGCGTTGTGTGTACCGCTTATGAGATCTTTGTTTATGTAAACATTGGCGGTGCTGATAATTGGCCGCCAACAAGTGAATCGCTGTTCCAAACGGTCAAAGTGATAATCTTGACATTTCCTGGCATCATATATTGGAATCTTCAAATATAAACCCATAGAGAAGCGCCAAAAGCGTTCTAAGTGGTCCATGGCCTAGACATTACCAACTTAAAGAAGTTTACGGAGAGGATGCAAGCGGAATTAACCGTACAAAAGCAGTGAGTTTTAGACTAGTGTGCACCTGAAAGCATGACCGACACAAATTGGCAAACGCGCAAGAGACAACATCCAGCCTATCGTTGTCGATAAAGATGGGACCCAGATGCGGTTAATTGTAAACTAAGTTACCGGAACCGACTAAGACTACATGTTACGTGCCATAACTAAGGCAGGAAAGATAAGCTAAGGCACAAATAACACCAAATAGCATTGCACGGTAAAGCAAATGCCAGTTTTTCACCAGATTGCACGAAACGAACAATACAAACCAAACCAGAAACCCCTGAACGTACTACAGCTAAAGACTGAAAAATAAACCACTCTGTGACGTAGATTAGTGGACTAAATGGATTACATAGCAATTAGACGGTACGCATAATCGGGTTAGTAGCACACCAAGACTTCCCACTAAGTAGAAATAAACATTCTGCAGGGCTCAATACGTGCAGTCAAGGCGAAGGGGAGATAAATCAGACTACGACTCGGACCCAACACTAGCACACGTGCCCAAGGACGCAGAAGAGCTCCGAGACAACCGCTGGGCAAAGGTGAATACATAAACAAGGTATTAAATTGTCAAACCCGAGTCAGATTAAAAATTCTTTAGAAAAAAATTCTATTCAGCACTGATTTTGGAAAAAATCTAGAATATGGTCACAACT